ATTAGGAAGGGCAATTTTTGTTCATGAAGGAGATCATGACACATTTAGTTAATTTGTCGCTGTCAAAGCCCAATACTTTTAATCTATGCTATTCAAGTTCTAATTGTGCCTCAGTCATGTTTTAAATTATCTGATAGCATCATAGCTTTAAACTTGAAAGAATCCACATTCAGAAATAAGCTTTCAACCTTTCTCGTAGATTCATGAATGTTTCAAACTAATTTGATTGTTCTATCAAAGTCTCTGTGACTTTACCAAAATAAAGTGTGTGAGAAGTGTCAAACCTTTTACAGCAAATGGTGTAATCCTTTGTATTTAAAGGTAGATGTCTTCAGATTTCAGGCACAGTATTTCCAGCACCTAGAGTATGATACACTATATTATACAGTACACTGTGTATACAGTGCACAGCAAACCCCCAGACAAATCGTGTGTTTAGAGTCGATGATCACAGTATGTGGTCTGGTGTGATGGAGTCCTGCCTACACTTTTTTATGGCACTAAATGTTCGCAGTTTTAAAAAGTCACCTGAGATAGAACTGATCTATATACGGCAGCCCTGAAGTTGCATAACACGCTGCCTAAGTACTGATTACTGGCAATTATGTCCAGAGACGGCTGACACAGTCAGATCTATTAAAATGCATCCACTCTACAGACACTCACAGAGTTGTTGTACCCTCGCTATCGATGGGTGACTGGACTTAGTTTCTATGGGAACCAAAGTGCAACACACACTGGTAAAATGAAAATACAGCTGTTGTTGTTCAGACAAACGGTATAAAGCAAAAGTAAAGCTGCTACGAGCTAAGCAGCTGTTACACTAAAGCTATCCCGACTTATAGTTATAGTATATATACTCATAGTTTTTTGCTGCCGGATGGGGAGGGGTCACAGCACTAGATGACAAAATACATTACATATGTGATTGAGCTTCATACTTTTGCTATGCTAAACTCTGAATGTTCATTGATAGCACAGTTAGGTGGCAGTTCTTTAGATCAGCGGTCCCAAACCTTTTTTGTGCCACGTACCGGTTTATGTTCGACAAAATTTTCACGGACTGGCCTTTAAGGTGTCGCGGATAAATACAACAAAATAAAACCTGTACCAGTACCAAAAAAAAGACGATTTATTCATAACACGTGGGAAAACACCCAGGGAAACCGAGTTAACGAGAAAAATGATAATAAAATAACGAACCCTGAAAATCATAAATTTCACAGCCCGGTAACAAACGACTCAAGGACCGGGGGTTGAGGACCACTGCTTTAGATAGTCTTAGGCTACGTCCACACGTACACGGGTATTTTTGAAAACAGAGATTTTCCGTTTTCGTTTTAAAAAATAATCCCGTCCACACGTAAAGGCAGAAATGAAGGAAAACGCTGCTAGGAACATGCCAAAGCAACAGGTGGCGATATATTCCTAACCGTGCAGAAATGTTGGCCAATCAGAAGTCTAGAAGCCTCGGTGGGAAAAAGTAAACAAAGCTGGGGCATAGAAGCAGAACCGAGTTGTATGTGTGGAGGGACAGTAGCTGTGTGTGTGTATGTAAGCATTTAAACACTGCAGAGAGTACAATTAACAGCAACAGTATTAATTCATTCATTTCACCGAAACAATAACGTGGCGCACAGTGTGATGTCAAAAAAGGCGCACACCTTTGACGCTGCGTTTTCTCTGTTTTTCTCGTCCACATGTAAATGCAAAAACAGAGTTTTCAAAAATATCCACCCTGTCCATCTCAGTTTTCAGTGACCGAAAACCCCGTTTACGTGTGGACGAAAGGTGCAAACGCATAGAAAAATCTGCATTTTCAAAAATACGTGTGGACGTAGCCTTAGATGGTTACAGTATGAACTTACAGCTGCACAGCCAACTTTAAATAACTCAGTTGTTTGTGCTTCATCAAAAAAAAAAAAAAAGATATCGCATTAGACCCCAGTCATACCAGCCCAACGACCCATTTAAGTGTGTTTCTCGATCGGTTGGCGTGTGGTTCCTGGACAATGAGGACAGTTGCTGAGGCAGGCAAGTTTATTAAGTCCAATTAATGCAGACCTAGAGACTGATTAGTGACCCCTACAGTGAACGTTTTCTGTGATTCGAGTTTTATTACCACTTGACAAATGTTTGCAGACAAGTTGGCATTTTCGATGCGAACTACTACCCGCTTGGCATCCACTTTTTGTGAGAGATTTAGCCTAGCAAAAGCCTAAACCTCCAGCAGCGACATGCCAACCGCACTTAGTCAGGAAACACACATTTTTCCCTCTCTGCCATAGATCCTGTGTAGCTAAACTTTAGCTCTTCTTAGACAATTGAATTCTAAATTATTCAATTTCAGCCTTCTGGTGTTCATTCTAGATCTCTTTCAGTCCTCTTGTGTGCGCATATGCATCATCACAGAAAACTGAACAGAAAAACCACAGTGTGGTCTTGGAGTCATCGGCTGTATCGGGAACTACCAGAAAAGCAGCTTTGATGCAGGATTATTTATCTCTTTTTTTTATCATGTAACAAATAATGTGTGTCATTAAATAAAATTGAATTGTAGAGTTCAGGATAGGTGTAGGTGTGATCACTTTGAGCTTTCCTAAAATACTGTGTAAAGTGCAGATGCACCTATTAATACCACACAAGTGGATCTTCTTAATTAGTGTCTCCAGTCCCACATTCCCAGTCTGAATACCACTCAGGTCCAAACTTCCAGTATGAACTTCTCCTCTTTGGCAGTATCAACATATGTGTCTCCATATTAATGTTTCTCTGTCCTTTTGATTATCTGTGCACGTGCCTCAAGGGTCATTCAGATGTTTTGCTTGAAGGGCTGTCTGGTTTTGACAAGTGCCCTACTCACCTGTGTACATGGCATGAATAGAACACAAAGTAAATATGTCCTCCCTTATGGTAGGTCAGACTACAAGGCAGTCCACTTTTCTGCACAGTGTTGCAGGTCTAAATCAAGAACTGAATTTCAACACAGTGGCATACGAAGCTTTTGCCTCAAGGGCCTGATTTCCTTGTTCTCTGGTGTTTTAACAATGAGGCTGTTCTTGACAGTCCAACTGAGGCAGTCATGTTTAAGTGGCCCTTGAGTCCAGCCTGTTTTGTGTAAGAGAGTTAAAAGCACTAAAGTGCATCAGGACTACTGATATGTGCCCAATAAATATCATCAAGCCAGTCCTTCCAAATGCAAAATCAAACCAAAACAAAAAATATATTAGTTAATTTAAAAACACCTGAAAGATTACCTCGTTGATCACCCTAAATATGTTTAATGTCATGCTTACCTTCTTTTGAAGCTATCACTCAGTGATATTCAATAGAATTAGGATCAAGACTCAGAATGGTCCAGTGTTTTCTACTTATTCTTGTTTTCATTCATTTTATCTTATATCTCATTATGCTGTTGGAAAAACTATGACCAGCAACTGCCTGGATACCTTGATTTTATTGTGTCCTTTCCAGATTCAAGCACACTGTGCCTAATGCAACAACACAACCCTATGGTGTGTGATGGTGTACTTTTCTTTTTTAAAAAAAAGTTGTTTTTTTACTACCATGACCACAGAGCTGATGTGACTTAGCACAAAGCTCCAATTTTGTTTCAGCTGTCCCAAGAAAACTCACCCAGAAGCACTGTGGCTTGAAGCCCACTTTCATTTAGAAGGTAACATATGGTGCGGCTAGATACTACTGCGAGTCTTAATCTCTAAAGTCAGGTTGTATCCATCCTGACGTTTTCTTAGCTTTTAGTTTTGCACTTTAAACCACCCCCCTGTTAAATCTGGGGTCAGGTTTCCTCTGGGCCAGAGGTGGGCAAATAATCTTCCCATGTCTTTACAAGCTTTTTAGTGCGGCCCCCCACAACATTCCCAGTTTCCCATGTGGCCCCTTGGGAAAATTAATTTCCCTCCCCTGCTCTAGCCCATGTCAGCATCTCCCTGTGAATCTTTACCATGACCACACGTGGCTATTACAGTTTTATCCTCTCAGATAACTTATGTGTGTGTGTTAAATGTGGCACACATGATGATGATGATGACAAATACCACAATAATTGGATCGCTCCATTTGTCAGGGCTGAAAATTAAAACCATGTTATGCTAATTAAAGTCTGCTTTAAATATGACTACACGCACATTTATATAGGAACACTTGGAAAGGGTTTTGTCTGCGCTATTTTAGACTACGGTTCAGTTCTTGTCGCACATTCTTTGTTTAAAGTTAAAGCGAGCCAACATCATAATATACCCACTGCAGCGCCACTCCACTCAACTTAGCAGTTCGTAAAGGAACTTAGAATAGAATCAGCGAACTCTGGACACCTCTTAGAGTTAGCAGTAAGGGTAAACATTTTCATTTCATTTAAGTGCCCATTTAAACATATATACCCAAAAGCTTTATGTGCATTTTCATTCAAAGACAACACAGAGAGGATTTCTCAAAGATGCATCTTTGCATGTTAACAGCAGACTTCTTTATAGTACATCGTTACATTTCCGAGCTCGTATTACTACCATCCTTCAATCCTAGACGTTGCACTGTATCACAAAATATCTACATAGTACTCTGTAGTCCAGCTAGTGTTTAAACACTACACTGCAAAAATTGTGCTATCTTAGTGTCAGCACAAATTCTTACACAACAGAAGTTGTCGACAAGAATCAATCATAATCTAACTTTAAATATTAATGCAGTTAATTTACTTTCAGCTGGCTAAAGTCAGGCATGTACCTGTGAATACTGTACTTCTGCCACTACCAAAGAACTGCTGCTGCAGACGGGATGATCCTCTTAGAGGCTCGGCAATCTGGGACACTATTCCCACTTCTTACTTTTGCCAATTTGCTCCTGGAAGCCCCTGAGTCCTTGTCTTCATTAAAGGAGTTCCTCATTGATCAATCACTGTCAGGGGAGTTGCCCTGTAATTGCACTGAGCCGTAATCATGACTGACGTCTCCCCCCCACCCCACCCCCCTGCTCTGTCACAGGTCTCGGGAGAGAGAATGCTCCATGACTTTCACACCTTCGACCTCAAGGTAGGCCCCTCTAAGGATTTTACTCTTCTCTTTGGGGTTTATCTTTAACGTTATCAGGTTTTGGACTGATTATCGTCACTCATGCATGTGTTTGTGTATGTATGTTAATGGAGATGGGGACAGGTGAGTTAAGATTTTGAATAAATATGAAATATATTTTTCACTGATACGACTGATTTCCTGCCATATATGCGATAGACTATATTATGTGTATTCATTTAAGAATTTTTCTATGTAATATATTTATACTTAGAGATACACTCTGTAAAATACACAGAGGTTCTTCACTGACTTGAAAAGAACACTTAACAGACAGCAGACGGTGAAAAAATGCCGATCTTGGCCTCTCGTCAAGTTGCTCATGGAGCTAATGTTGTAGATTAGCAGTTGCTGTAACCTTCAGCTTGTCATTTTCCCAAGCAAAAGTGTCTGCCAGCGCTCTTGATGTTTTGTACTTATAAGAGACTTTAGATAACCAATTTAAAATCCAGTATTTTGTAACCCCTGTGTTTAATCTTGGCATTTACATGCTCTAACTACACGAGCAGGCTCAGGTAGACAAAATCGAATGCTAATGTGATGCATAATATGAAGCAATAGTTTATCCCAGTTATTCATTTATTTGACATCAAGATCTTGACTTTATTGAATTGTATTTTTTTCCCCCTCCAACAATGTGGCTAAGGCTTTTTATGCACGATGCATAAAGTCCTGAGCTGCTTTGTTTTATGAGACATAAACTAATACATACAGTCAATTCAGTGTTTCCCCGTGCTTTATCTCCAAGTGTTTGGAAATCACAGTAAACTTTTCACAGCTGTGCAGAAAGGTCACATGTAAGTTTGCCATCAGCTCTGTAATGTGTGATGTCAAGCCAGCACATCGATTTTTGGAGTATGACTTGCAAAAGATGCAAAATGATTGGTTGATTTTCATGGAATGGAACTGATACTGTTGCCATGACATTAAACCTACCAGGATGCAAAAGTTCTGAAAACATTATAAGATTGTGTAAAATGATTTGTCACTGTCAGAGGTTTGATGGTAAAGCTTGTGATCATGCTTACAACTGGTGATTGCTGTTAATGCCTGCTGTGCCTACACCGAGCACTATTAGATTTAGCTTGTAATCCGTTACACTATTTCATCTTCTAATTGTTCTCATTTTGAAATTGTAATTTTATTAACTCATTTATGTACTTCAGCACTTGGCAAAGAATAACCTCGCCTCTACCCGCTTCCCACAACACGCGCTGTACATTTTTAAATGTCATTTATGTGACACTTGTAATACAAACATCCATAATGTTTTAACCAGGGGGGGAATTGCAACACGGATCTCAATCATTGTGAATTCAGGGCGCAGTCAGAAGAAAGGAAGGTCAGCACGGCTGAACTCTCCTTCCTACAAAACATGATTGTTTTATCAAACTTTGAAAACATGCTCATGATTACTGCTGCTGTGGCAAAACGTCAACAGAATACTGCGGAAAATGCTTTTCCCTGGGAAAATATAGCAGCATTTTCATCTTTTGGGAATAATTCGGCCTTATTTTATACATTTTACCAATGGTAGAGGTTAGGATTTGGACAAGTAGAAAAGTGGGTATTTGCACATAACTAATGTTTTAGAAACACATATACTTACACTCATAATGTAATAATATAAAGACATCTGTAGATGAAATAGAAGTGTTATTTTTCACTGTCAGTCTATGAGATTGCAGGGACCTTGGCATTTACTAAGTCTGCCATGTCATTGTCTGGAAAAGTGTTCAGGACCATGTACGAGGAGGAAAGTTTTAAATTTAAAATGTAATCAGCACAATCACCACAAGCAATCAGTTCCTCTTCATTTCACCTGATCGAGCCCCCTGCTAAAAGGAGGCTGTTAAATAGAGCATCTTATCAGGCCTGGATTAAGTTTTGACTTTGATTAACATCTGTAGTCTGAGTTTAGAATGTCAAAGTTCAACTTAAAGGGAGAGATAGACAATTATATATATATATA